AACTAAACAGTTTGCTAGCTTACATAACACTGCTGTTGAATTACCACTAGCTTGCTAACAATGCTGTTTGCTGGTAACATACTGGCTAACTAACATTAGCATCAAACTTAAATTTTACCAGCTAACAATAATGTTAGGTAACATTACCACGAGCTAGCTAACATTACGTTCTGCTAGCTAACATAACCTTTTGCTAGCTAACACTTTTTGAACAGCATTACCACCAGCTGGCTAACAGTTCTATTTGCTAGCTAAAATCGCCTGTTTGCTTGCTATCATCACTTTTAGATAACATTACCACCATCTAGCTTACGTTACTTTTTGTTAGCTAACATTGCTCGCTGACTTTGCTTTTAGATAACATTAGCAGCACCTAGCCCTTACCTCGCTAACATAGCTGCTCCTTCACATTATGTTTTGTAATATGTTGTGCAAAGTTATCAAATAGTGTTTGCTGGTGAGAGGTGGAATGATAACTGCTTTCAGAGGTAACAAATGTTTTGTTTTAGCTTGAAATGTTGCCTTAATTAACTATTTGTCTGACCCCTGAAACAAAACAGCATTTTAAACTCCCACCATGTCTGTGACCTGAGGGAAGTTACATGATTAGCAACTTAAGAAATAGATATTTGTCAGAAAAGCAATGCCAACTGTCTTCTTTATCTGTTTTTTTAGGTAGCCTATTAGTCGTAACACTGGCTAAGCTTATACTATGTTTGTGCTGTAGGCTTCAGTCTGTTCCCTACAACACACTTATTTAAAACACTGTCACGTGTACCATTGCATTAGGGGCCAATGCGACTTTTAATGGTGTATTTGACTTATGTTACAGGCAAATAAGGGTTATTATTTTGATAGCAGTGAAACACTGATTTTATTCAGTGATCTAAATAATCAACAGTCTGTGTCAATCCCAGAGAACAACAGAGCATCTTTCCATCCTCATAATCATCAACAGTTATTTAGTATTCATTACAGGAGGCAGGGGTAGTGGGCAAAATAGATGAGAAAGTTCAGCAGCATGTCACGATGCATTTTAATTCAGAGGTCTGTCTCTACTTTTTCACCAGCCAGCAGAGAAATTGTCACTTTCTCACTGTCACCCTGCTCTCATTATGTCTTGTTCACAGGCGCAGTTGAAAGTTATGCTGTTATAAACCAAGCTGGATGAGAGACAGTTGACGCACCATACAATTAAATAACAGCACTCAGTTATAAAGGGCTGACATTGAAGAGCGTAATCCAATCGGAGGAGAGATTTCGACTCACAAAAGATACTCACAGGAGAATGATTTTCCCTTGCCTCTGTCACCTGAACGCCAGCCTGGACACAAGGACAAATCACAAGGTGCTCAAGGGACCAAAACATCTATTACACATATTAAATGAATTCAAAGTAATTTCTTCTCTCTAACTCTAGTTTTTATTGACTCAAAATATCCAAAAAATACACACCAAAAGAGGGATTGTTTTTTTGTAAACTGCTCTGTAATATCTAAGTATATCCTTTGTGCAAAATGAGATGAACAAGTGAGCAATAAATGATTAATGGTCAATTTACTGGTGGCCCTCTGAAATATTGAGAGCGAGAACTCAGCCATGAAATGCAATGTAAATGGATCTATTTATAGTGTAGCAGAGGAAGTCATGTGGAACAAGCTGGTCCGGGTTGCCTTGTTCATATAGCTTTTAGAGGCAAACGACAGGGGAGAAAAGAGGGCAAAAACACACACACTACACCCACATTTGCATGTAAAGCCACTTTTTCTGGGGACATTAAACTTTCAGACACACAGCAGGAATAGCAATAAATAATTTCCACATTGAGAAAGACGGAAAGCCCCAGCTCAACTCCCATGTGCCCTGTAGCCTCCCACTTCGATTCAAGCCTCCACACTCCCTCCCTCTGCCCTCCCCTCTCGTGTTGTCTCGTGGGATTGTTTAGGAGTGAAAAGGAAGGGAAGTGACATGTTAAAACCGCTTTTTGTTAATTCTGAGAGGAGGGAGCGTTTGGCGGGGTGTCACAGCAGCTGATGGGAGCAGAGAGCATGTGTCAATCGGTGGATTTCTGGATGAATAACGTAACACAAAACCCCAAATCCTCGGCTAACAGTAATGAAATATGACTGTGTTGCAACATCAGGGGAAAAGCCAAGAGAGGGTTTCCGATCAAGTTTTATTACTTTAATTTATACTATATTACATTATCAAGCAATGGAAGATGTTGGATTAGAAATATATTACAAGAACTACATGACAGACTTTAATGTATGATACATATACAGTACATAAGCAGGCGCTAAAATGTAGTTTACTGCCTGCGTTTAAGAAATGTAGTAAGAAAAACCAACCCCTTTAGCTGTTTTTTAATGTAGTAATATTAATATGTGGCTGCATCTAAAAATTCCAATTATGTTTATAGTTATGATTGCTTTATAGTGGAAAAATATGCTCATTCTCAAGAGACCAATGCCAGACACGTTATTTGGTTTAAAACCCAAAGGTTATCAGCTCAATATGTTGGTTATTGTCCTTATGAAGTGACTTAAATAATTGATCTTTTATCTAAATAATAGGGTGTGTGATGATAACTCATGATACAAATCATGATTCTGGGTTCATAATCCAATTTTATCACATTTTTTCTACAATTTTCTAATTATTATAGGGACATAAGATTGGACTATATTTATGGATGTGTCGTACATTCATCAGTTTCACCTCCTGTCTACCACCCCGCTTTAAAACGACGCCTCAAAATCAATTTCTCATCCTCAAAATCTTCACTTGCTTCTTCCATGGCTGTGTGCCTCTCCTCTTCAGATACTGACTGCGAACAAGAGAAGCCAAAAGCAGACAGAGTGCTCTGGGGATGAATAAAACCCTCTTGCAGTATATACCCTACTAAATCGTTGCCCATAAATCATACACTTTCTGTTGATGCTCTACTACTCTATTCACTGCTGGTAATATAATGTGTAGTTCTACTTCTGTTTCCACCACAGGAACTCACCACTGGGCCTTAGGAGTTTTGGAGATATTCATTGGGTTTCCCACCAGGAGTCTAGATAAACACCAAAAAGTTACCAACTCCAGGGAAGCATTTCCTGGAAGTACAGGGACTTTTGGGGTATGATTAGGTTTTTCTTATTGGTCTATTACTCGCAGCATTTAGAGGCCAAGATGACTTGAAGTATTTTGATGTGATTTGTTACCATACAATGCCTTAAATATTTAGGAGTCAGTTGCCGTCAATTTCACCGCTGTAAACCAGTCAGCCCAGTATGCAAAATAGGGTTTGGTTTTTCACACTGCAGTAGACTTATTAATCTGATCCTCACAGGTCTTAAGACCATGGTTAAAACAGCAGACATTAATGGGCTGTAGCCTACTTTTTAGGCCCTTAAAAAAGCCCCAGAGCCCTCAAAGTCTTGGGTACTTTCTGTGGAAACACAGCATTTGTAAGTAGCTCCCCACTCACTCATACTCACCAATTATAAAAGTGACACTCATCACGAAAAAAACAAAAAACCCTCACTGTGTGATAAATAATTAAGGATTCAGGGTAATTCCAGCCTGCTTAATCTGATGTCACTCACCAGAGCCATAATTAGGGTTTACTATGACTGTATGGTCGGCTTTAGTAGATGTTTCAAAGTGCCAAACTGCCATCTACTGGCTGCTGTGTTCACATGCAAGTGACTGTACACATCTTAGTCTTAGATCTGCTGCTATAACAGCATCCACTCCCTTGGTGTTTAAGGTTTTGGCCACCGGGATTTAGTTCAGAATAAATAGCCTAATTAATGTCTAAATTAACAGGGGTCGGGAAAAAAGGTCTGGCCCCCACTCCCATGAATCTTAGGAGAGGCAACATCGATTGAAAATGATTCTAAAAAAATGTGAAAATTTGGCTTTATTCTTTTCATTTAATGCTTTTTGTCCAATCTTAATAAAGAGGAGGAAAAGGCTGAGGCTGCTAAAACAAAGTCTGAGAGCAGAGAGGTCAACACTGAGGTGAAAATTGAAAATGGTGTCACAAAGTACCCGGAGAAAAAATGATGTGAATTGATCAAAGGAACTTTCAGTTTCACCTGAAGAGAGTTCAGTCCAGGCGGCTAAAGTGAATGGAGCTGAGAAGAGCCGGGTTGTTCATGTGAGTGGTGTGAAATGGCAATGAGACGATGAAGACGAAGGACGAGGACTCAAAGCAAGGAATCAGGAAAAGACTGAGGCTTATTTTATAGTAACGCAGAAAGAAGACGTTGAAGCTCAGGTTGTGGATGGTTGATTTTTAAATCACATCATTAACGGTGTTCAAATGGCTTAATATTTTGGTTTCGGAAGTTGAAACCAATTCACCTGTACCCACACACATGGTGGTTTGCAGCTGTGATTTTTTATTCATGAGATTTGTAATAATTTTGAGTCTATTTATGCTACATAGTTTTCACATCAGGAGAGTTAAAAACTATTTCTGAGGGAAGCATCAGCTTTTTCGACGACTCAAGACTCGCCTATAGTTCCTTTTCTGTGATGAGGCCTCGTTATGGGTGGCACACTTTGTCTCTAAAGGCTCAAAAACAGCACAAAATCATCACACACAAGCTATCTCTCGTGAAGTAGAGCATGAACAGTGGATTTACCAAATATACCAAATCTATAGTTTAACCCTATTAAACATCATGAATATTTTGCATGTTTAATTTTATTCCTTCAGCAGAAAAAAAACCTTTTAGTCTGTTTATAGAAGTGTTCTTACCGTGAAGGCCCTTCACAAAATGTGACAGTTACTCTGAAGTAAGGTACAGATCCAGGGAAAGTGTAGCTATCTGCAGCTGAGCTCTGAACAGATAAACACAAAGCTTTATCAGCAACTTTGTCTCTCAAAATAACTTTTTTCCTGTGCAGGAGAACTGTGTGTTTCTTAGCAGAGTGAGGTAACTGCATGGGAACAGTCCACCTGTCGCCCGGTGATATAAGGAGACTAGAGACTGACACCTGACTCACTTTATGCTCCTGAAACAGTCGGGGACATACAGACGAGATGAGAGGCTTCTGGCTGCTGTTGGTGCTTGTGGCTGCGGCCTATGCTGATGAGAGGCTCTTCATCGGGTGAGTTAGTCTGTGCACATGGTGAGAGGAGGAAATTATTATTAATATGAACTTTGTCTCTGAATAGGAGAGAAATTAGATTATAAAGACACTGATTTCAAAGACAGCAAGGGGTTTGAAAACCTCACTCATCATATGTAATCAAATTATTGCTCCTGTTTTTGTTTTTGTTAATTTCAAGAACACAGATATGTTATGAATATCTCAAAGTGTTCTCCCATTAAAATCTGTTGCTTCCTATACATCCATTATTGACTGCTTCAAACAGTAAGCAAACAAAGAAACAAACATTCTGATATGCCTGGTGTACTCTTTGTAGCTGAACCGGATAAAACATCTTAAGCATTTTACACAAGTCCTTACACAAAACTCTGAATAAACAAACTAAGGTACCAAACGCCTCCCTGTGGAACTCCCTCCCTCAACACATCTGAGACTGTATCGACCTGCCACCATTAAAATCCCTGATCACAACCCACCTTTTCAGCACTGCTTCTGATGCTAACGTTTCTTTTTCAACCATTGTTTAGTTGTGTTTTTTTCCTGTTGATTTGCTTTGTATTTCTTTTAAGGTCATGTGACTCTGTAAAGTGTCTTTGAGTATTTTGAAAAGCACTATATAAATAATTATATATTACCGTACTTATATTATTATATAAGTACGAGGTACAACAGAGGTACAACATCAACAAACTCTTTGTTACAGATGAAATCAATTAGGGGTTGTAAAACAATGTAACATTTGAATCACTGCTGCCTGGGTTTAGTAGCCTCATACCTGGAGCAAAGAAATAAGAATCAAACGTGCATAAATGTCATCAAAACTTTTAAAACACTCCAGCTCGTAAAAGAAAGCGCACTCTAAAGTACTATATTGAAGTTTTAAAAGACTTATCAGGTTGATTTTATTCCCTCAGATGCCTCATTTGTTCAACATGTCGAATAACCAACCAAGCTGAGAAAGCAGATTGATATTCATTGAGCAGAACACAAAGAGACTTTATGTTTAAAGACAGATTAAATCTTCATTACAGACGTATTAGAGAGAGTAGAGTGGTAGTCTCTGTACTCGCAGTTCTGTACAATAAATTGCTTGCTATATTGGTACGCAACACTCCCACAAATAAGATCATCCAGTAATAACTCTAAAATGTCAATAATAATGTTCATAAACTGGACTGAACTTCTTCCAGGGATCAGGTCATCAGGGTCAATGCTGAGACCGAGGAGCAGATCCAGCTCCTGCAGGCTCTGGAGACTCAGGAGGAGTGGGAGGTACACACACACACACACACACACACACACACACACACACACACACACACACACACACACACACTGGTGCAAACACCTACGTGACCTAAGTTTTCTCAGCTGCTTCTGCTAAAAAGTTTCTCACAAACTCCCCAAGAAATACAAAAGGTAAATGAGTTTGGGCCTGGACTAACCGCCCCGGGAGAGAGTGTGTGGGCTGAAGGTCAACAGAGTCATCAGCACTTATCGGGGAAGTCGGAAACTCTCTGAGGCTCGGCTCCTGTTTTGTGTTGAACTCTTTCATAAACAAAATAATAATGCATTTATTAACCTTTTATCTTGTTTTTACTCTTATGATTACATCTATTTCTGCTTCTTTTAAAGAGAATCAGAGAAGATTTTAGACTCGTGTTAGCATCTGAATCTAATTTAGAAAATGTTTAAATTAGTTGACTCTTTTTTTGATTTATGCTGGGAAATTGTCTAATGATTTAAACTCTTGGTACACACTTTGACTTAAGGCATTTTGGTATTTTTGGACCTCTGTGATATCTTAATGTGGGTTATATGACAATAAGAAAGACTGCAAAGGAAGGTCAATGTGGAAGCATGAGCAGAGGAACAGATACAGTTTATTAAAGTTCATGTGTACAAGAAAGGTCGTTCTGTAAGGTCATTCATTTAGAAGAAATGACAAGGAATACAGGCATCTAAAGTATTTACTTACTGAATTTATTGACAAATATCCTGTTTTTTATGTGGATTATGAGAACTCATGTCAAGTGAAGGCTTCATTCTATGGAATACTCAAGTAACTTTATTTCCATTGGCAAGATACAGGAATCAAGTGCATTGAAATAGGCAATAAAACAAATAGTCTCATTTAGCTTACCTTACAAGCAGGGGCGTGTCCAGACTTTTCTGACTGGGGTGGCCAAACTGGGGCTCTGACATCTGCAGGGGTGGCCTGCAGGTGTGATGTGTGCACAAACACACACACACACAAATAAATATAAATGATTTAGTCTGTCTGACTTCAACAATCATATCTACTTTATAACACAAGAGAATGGAAACATAGACATCATGTTAGCTTGATTCATTAAAGAGACAAAAAGAAGATGTTGGACTATGTTCAAACTTAAAGAATGCATGAAAATTTTGAACACTGTCTAACTGACATAAATAGGGGATGTTCATTGCATGCAACACAGTGTGCATTACTTTCCTATATGCAGCTGTCTTATGAAATCGATGTGCAAGGTATTCATTTACAGTTTAAAATTAAAACTAAAACTGAAAGCAGCCTTTTGTAAAGAGGCCCAAATAGTCGTTTTCGCCTCTGAAAGGGCAAATAGCCAATCACAGTTAAGGATTTTTGGGGTTGTAACTGGGGTGGCCAATCAGATTTCAAAGGGGGCCCATGCCAACCCTGACTACCCCTATGGACACGCCCCTGCACTCAAGTAACCACCACCAAAAAAGAAGAAACAGTCAAAACAATGTTAATGGTGTGATTTAAATTAGAATGATTATCTATTTTTTATATATCTGGGTAACAAATGTATTTAATATCTAGATATACTGTGATAAAATGGTTAAATGTTGCAGTCTAAAATGGTGTGAATTACGCAGATATAAAAGCTTATGATAAGTACATATACAGAGGTGTGGAAAAAAGTCAGTTCTTAAATTCTAGTAGAAGCCACTGAAGCAGAAATGCGACAAATTATTTAAGAAGTGATATTCTGCTTAGCTCCCTTTCAGAACCGTGCTTTCTAAGTGTTTTAATTGTCATGCTTTCCTAATTTTTTCCTAATCACCCTTCTGATCCCAGATGGACTTCTGGCTCCACCCGGTCTCCACTGATCTCCCCGTCGACATCCGCGTGCCCCTCTCCAGTCTTGGCGCTGTGACACAGTTCCTCGATTCCCACGACATCCACTACTCTGTCCTTATCAACAACCTGCAGGTATGTAATCCTCCACATGCAGTAATTTCTTAACTTATTAATTTACAACACAATACTGAATTTGAGCTCTTTTTTTGTGTGCGTCACCTTTAGGATCTTCTGGATGAGGAGAGAGCTGAGATGCAGGAGAACCAGATGAACGAGCGCAGCACCAAGAGCTTCAACTTTGGAGCTTATCATCGCCTGGAGACTGTAGGCTTTTTACTCAAACACACGATTCAGTCATGACTCACTTAAATATGGAGACTTTCATGGTCAACACCCTACAAACACCTTATTTCAACTCATCTTCGATCTGTTATCAAACCAAAGTCAGTTCTAAAATTCTGATTTATTAAAGGAAAGGAAACAGCAAACAGTCAAACTTCAGATAGACAACTAAAATGATCTGTGCACTTCAGCATCTTAAGTTTGGACTTATTTCTTATAAATTCTAGAGAAAGCAAACTTTATTATTAGATAAACCCTGGCTGATCCTTCACTTGGTCCTCTATTTTCTTCACTGTGATGTAAAATCAGGTATTTCTTGAACTAGTCAATTAGTTTTTGTTAATTTAATTCCTAGTGTTGTGTGGTGATTTTACTTTATTACGATCTGCAGTAATCCTCCACAACCAAGCATTTAGTATATCTGTTTAGAATCCGGTACCAAACATCTGTATTGTATTGTTTGATGTGTCACTAACTCAGATCTACAGCTGGATGGATACTCTGGTGGCTCAGTACCCTAATCTGGTCTCCAAGCAGCAAATTGGTAAATCTTATGAGAACAGGCCCATGTATGTGCTCAAGGTAGGACACACACACACCTCATACTACAAAACCATAGACCTATAGTACCCTGTGTTTGTAGCATGTGTGTACTGTAAACTGTACCGTTACTGTTCCTCGTTTTGATTAGTTCAGCACTGGTGGAAACAACCGTCCCGCCATCTGGATCGACACAGGGATCCACTCCAGAGAATGGGTGTCTCAGGCTACCGGAGTGTGGACTGCTAACAAGGTAACACATATCGAACTGGGTTCAACTGGATTACTGTGTTCGAACATCTGTATTATCTATTATCTACACCTGATTTAAGATTCTCAGAAAATACGAATATTCTGCTTTCAGCTCGTTGTAAATTGATTATCTTTCAGGTTTGGACTGATGAAATAAAAAAAAAATTAAAAAAAAAGATGATTAGAGATGCTATCTGTTTTACATTTCTGACATTTTACAGTGAAACCAAATCAACAGTAGATTATTAGCAAATGAAATTAAACTTTAGATGCTGCAGCTTTAATTAATAAAAACACCTTATATTATAAACAACATACCTCATATTTGTGTGAAAGGCTTTGAGCCTCAAATTCCTTCCTTTCCTGTAAACAATCTTAACATTCGTTTCTCTGTCTTCTATGTAAGATACAAACTATTGCACATTTTGTCCAGTCATAAACATATGAATATAATGTTTTGTTTTCTTGCTCAGATTGCCACTGACTATGGCACTGATGCCTCCCTGACCTCCCTCCTGAACACCATGGACATCTACATGCTGCTGCTGGCCAACCCGGACGGCTACGCCTACACCCACTCCAACGTACAGCACCACCATTGAATGCAGCATGATGGGTCTTAGGCCATATTTTCTGTGTCAATATGTTCATGTTTCAGACCAGTTATGTACAAAAAAAAACATTTTGAAATTATGACAGTAAAACATTGTCAACATAAGTCCATTGAAATGTTAGTAACAGTATTTGCATTTTCCCTGAGCCATGACTGACTGTGTGTGATGTGTTCAGGACCGTATGTGGCGTAAGACCCGCGCCGTGAACCCTGGCTCCTCGTGCCGTGGAGTCGATCCCAACAGGAACTGGGACGCAGGCTTTGGTGGTCAGTGAAGAAAAGAGACCAAATCTGTCTCATTGATATGATTTTTTGTTCTTGTTGTAGTTTAAAGGTAGAGTCAGTAGCAATGTTTGCTGCAGCTTGTAAACACAACATTCAAAGTTGGACCTTCATCATTGCCACCAGAGGTTCACATCCAGGGCAGGACTTGGTGTTTACATTTACTGCTTGTACCAACACTGCAAGCTACCTGATAATATTACATTTTTGTACTGTGAAGCTGATCATTTAGCAAGCTAACCTGCCAGTGTTTGGCAACTGCCTGCCCAACAGAAAGCAGGCCAACTGCTTGTCGTTGGCCAAATCACAGAATTCATAATTGAATTATATTTTTCTGTACATAAGTATGTATGTTGTTATGATGTTCATTGTGTCTCATGCATTCCTTTTTTGGCGTAAGACCCGCGCCGTGAACCCTGGCTCCTCGTGCCGTGGAGTCGATCCCAACAGGAACTGGGACGCAGGCTTTGGTGGTCAGTGAAGAAAAGAGACCAAATCTGTCTCATTGATATGATTTTTTGTTCTTGTTGTAGTTTAAAGGTAGAGTCAGTAGCAATGTTTGCTGCAGCTTGTAAACACAACATTCAAAGTTGGACCTTCATCATTGCCACCAGAGGTTCACATCCAGGGCAGGACTTGGTGTTTACATTTACTGCTTGTACCAACACTGCAAGCTACCTGATAATATTACATTTGTTGTACTGTGAAGCTGATCATTTAGCAAGCTAACCTGCCAGTGTTTGGCAACTGCCTGCCCAACAGAAAGCAGGCCAACTGCTTGTCCGTTGGCCAAATCACAGAATTCATAATTGAATTATATTTTTCTGTACATAAGTATGTATGTTGTTATGATGTTCATTGTGTCTCATGCATTCCTTTTTGTTATCTTTTAATCATCATCCTCCAGGCCCTGGAGCCAGCAGGAACCCCTGCTCTGACTCTTACCACGGCCCCTCGGCTCACTCTGCGATCGAGGTGAAGAACGTGGTGAATCTGATCAAGAGCCACGGAAACTTCAAGTCCTTCATCTCCGTCCACGCCTACTCCCAGCTGCTCATGTACCCCTACGGATACACCTGCGGGAGTGTGCCTCATAAGTCTGAGTTGGTAAGGAGGGGAAAGAGAAATGGTCTGTTATGAGAAGGGCAAAGAGCAAATTAAATCAGACGCCTTGCTGTTGAGCCCGTAACTGCAAAGGAGTTCTCATACCGAACAGTCAAGTCAGAGGGGGTGAGACCTGATTTAAGAACGCTTGTCAAAGTCACAACCTGCCTTTGAGAACTTTATTAACCTAAACTGTACAATATGGGATATGGGTTTGCTTAATTTCCAATTCCCTGGAAGTACTTCTAAAAACTGTTATTATATCTAGTATATAACCACTTTGAAAAAAACCTCCTAATGCACAGAAGTCCTGTCATTATTTGTACATAACTAAGCCCTTTAAAACAAATCACGTTTTAATCAATACTCTTCTCTAATCCGATGTGACTTTACTCTGCCTTCCAACCAAGTTGTGGGTTTCTTTTGCACAAAGTGTTACTCAAACTGTATTATTACTGAACAAAAAATGACGAGAAGCTAACTTGACCTTGAAGATATTCTGTCCTTTCTTTTCTTACCAAATAAGTATTAAATACAGAGGTTGATCAAGTTCTCTTTGTGGCAAAGACGCTAACATATTAAGCTTAACAAGAAGTCCCTTTTCCTCTTCACTCAAGATATTTCTCAAGGAGAAATCTGAAAAAGTATTCTCTGCAGCCCTTTACTCATTCATGTTACTCTCTGCAGCAGTTTCATCTGTTCACTGTACCTCACCACGGTATTTATTTATGTACCTTTGATTCTCTGTTCCCTATAGGACGCTGTCGGCAGAGCAGCAGTGCAGAAGCTCACCTCCCTCTATGGCACCAGATACAAGGTTGGAAGCATCTGCAACATCATCTGTGAGTAAACGGTTTTCATCTTTCCTTTTATACACAACAAATAAATTAGACAGAATTAAAATTATATAAACACATAACAAATGGCTTAATGTGAAGTTCTAGGCAAAAAACATAATTAGTAATAAAAAACAAAGCTAGAGGGACAGCTTTGTTCAAATATATTGTACTGTATTAAATAAAATGCAAAAAGAAGGTATTAAAAGGAGATGTGTTTCTATTGTTGGGGTTAAATTATGGAGTGATGCTGATTGACTAAATTTAGAAACCTGTAATTCACCTTTGGTTTTCAAGAAAATGCTTCACAAAGAGTCTTATAAATGTGAATGATTCATCTGTTGTTGTTTTAATTCTTCTGGAAGCTTAATTTGATAACAGTGTGGGACAGGCTTTTTTTTACAAGCAGTTTGCTTCTTCTGAAGCCTTTTCAGTCACTACTTAATATAACTGTCTGTTGACTTCATTTGAACTGTCTATATTGTTTAATATGATTGTATTATGTAGGATGGCTGAATAAATGTGTTTAAAATGATGAATTTATTTCAATTTCAATAATATCACTACTAGTCATTAGGCAATAAGGGGCAACATTTTTGTAGATATGTAGGTGAATGCCTATATTTGGAATAATAAATAACAACACACCAAAGATGAGGAGCCAATTTAGAAATCCAAAATATAGTTTTCCCACCAGGGGGCACTGATGAGTCCCAAATATCCCACTGAGTAGACACTTTTTATCACAATTCCTTGAAAGGGTTCAAGGAGTTTTATCATAAACCTTTTTTTTTAATTGAGACTGACTTGCTGAAAGAATAAATCTGGGGTTATTGGTCACAAAAAAGCTATGATAAGTAGAACTACTCCATCATGTCCTCTTCCTCCCCTCTCAGATCAAGCCAGCGGCGGCAGCATCGACTGGTCTTACAACATGGGCATCAAGTACTCTTATGCCTTTGAGCTGAGAGACACTGGTCGCTATGGTTTCATCCTGCCAGCCAATCAGATCATCCCTACGGCCACCGAGACCTGGCTGGCCCTCAAACACCTCATGGAGTACGTCCGTGATCATCCTTATTAGGAGCTACAACCATGGAGAAGAAATTCACAATAAAATCCATTGAGTCTGCCTTTAATTAGCAGAGAGACTTCATTATTCCATGCTGATGTGTGACATCTTACTTATATATATTGAACAATAAAGTCATGTTTGTCACTCATTTTTTGTCTGTATGTTTCACACTAAAGTTCAACCTGTCTGTGAAAGGATATGGTGCTAACAAAGGGGAAAGGGGCAGAATTAAAAAAAGAAAGGGAGAATCTATGCACAGCAGACATAATGCAACCTTGCTTTGGATTAAGATAGCTGCTTTATTTGACTCAGAATACAGTTTAAATTACTACGAAATTAAAACACATGATCTCAGATAAACTATTTGAACAGGAAGAGATGTACGTATTCTCGAAGTGTCTCGCTTTGTCAACATTAAAAGCCAGTGACGGTGAAACTTGTTAAAGGCTTTATATGCGATTTTTTGATCCAGCAGATGTCGCCCTTGAGCACCAGCATGAAACCAAAACAACTCGCGGTGCATTGTTGTGTTAGCATGCTAATGCTAGCGATCTTTATTATGCTCGTATCTTCACACTGCATGTAAATTTACCTGAAATGAGCGTGATCTAGAAACACAGTTAAGCAGTGAGTACAGTATGTTATTCTTCTTTTCTCTAGTCCCTCAATTAAACAACTTTTATTCGCGAGGGGAGGAGTCAGCCGTCGTCCTGGCGATGTCAACAAACTGAAGATAGGACTCGGGGAAACTCTGAAAACATCACAGACAGTGGGACTCGGGTGTTACACCCATTGTAGACAGTCATCACTCACAGAGTTATTTTCAGAGGATATACTTGATTTCTATTATATTTAAGTGTGAAAAATCGCATATAAAGCCTTGAAAGACTTGTGTAATAACTTAATAGTTATTTAGTTGCAAGTTTTTTTGTGTGAAAACTACAAGTGTTTTTCTTGGCATATCCATCTTTATAATTATCAGTGAGATTGGATAGTTTATTGACTCGCAGATAAAAAAATTAATATATTTTGAAGTGGTTCCCAACCTTTTTTTGGCATGTGATCCCAATTTTTTTTGTTTAAGTAATTTGTTTTCAATGGTGTGTCATTATTCTGTTGTGTTTTAGGTAAACAATATTTTTAGACGACTTTAGGCTTTTTCGTGTATATTTTTTTTTTACGGACAGAGGAAGAAAGGCTGGGATGACTTTTCTGAACAATGGATGACAGACAGAGACTCTGCAAGTTTCTTGTTATGACCCACAGTAGCTTCTGTTCCAATATATCTAAATGTACAAAATAGCTTTTATTAATCAATAAATACATATATCAGGCGACCAGTTTCAATTCCATGTGACCCCATACAGGTTGTGAAAGCCTGTGTTAGGAGGCTAAATTATATGTATTGAATACCATACATAATAATGTCTGATATTTAACATGTTCTCTAAACATTATTGTACGCTTGAAATTTTAAAGCTGGGTGGATTATATATTTGAATTAAATAACTGAACAGATGCACATACCAACCATGCATTGCTAAATTTTGACTGAATCATCAAATCCAAAAATATTTACAAAAAGCTTTTTCACATTTCCCAGCTTGTATTGGTGTTAGCATGTATATTAGCATGTTAGCATGTATATTAGCATGTTAGTTTCCCGCCTTTTGTAAATCCTTCCTCCTTCTGATCGTCACTTGAACTCTTGAACTCCTCGCTGTGCAAGGCAAAGGTGACATTAATATGGGGTATCTGAAAGAAATTGACGTGGAGAACTTCAAGTCATGGAGAGGAAAACAAGTTATCGGTCCTTTCATGAGATTTAATTGTATAATTGGCACAAATGGCTCCGGTAAGTGAATGTTATTATTATCATGTTAATATGAAGCTATCATTAGCATACATTCATTAATGCATTAATACCAGGTTAGCCTAAAACATCTGTGTATTTGTAGAAGCAGTTACATAACCGACAAATACAAAGTGTATTAATATTCTCACTAAAGTATTTTGAGATTTATTTCAGATAAGAAAATAAGGTTTTATGCGAGCTGATGTCACTTTAAAAAAAAAAAAAAAAAAAGTACCAACTAAATGGTTTTTACTTCAATCGGCTATTCCTGGTAATAATCTAACATGGGTGCATAATCCCGCTAGGCAAGTCCAACGTGATGGACGCCCTGAGTTTTGTGATGGGGGAGCGGGCTGGCTCTCTCCGGGTGAAGCACCTCAGAGACCTGGTCCACGGAGCCCACATCGGGCAGCCTGTGGCGGACTCCACTCGAGTCGCGATGCGGTACTGCGACGATGAAGACCAGGAGACCGTCTTCTCCAGGACCATCCAAGGTCTTCATCGCTTTACACTGTTAATACACTTTTATAGATATGTTTTTATAAGCAGCCCAGTCCAAAGAAAGTCCTCACATTTGTTATAACTCAGACGTCCTGCATTACTCTTCCAATGTTCTTCTATATTAGGTTCTTTATTCTGCTGTAATAAAAGGTCATACAGTAGCAATCAAATAACATAGGTGTGTTAACAAGGCCTACATGATATGAGAAAAATATGCAATGTAGGATAACACTGGTAAAAAAAAGTCTGTAACAATAGTATTACTGGTTGTAGTATGATAAAGAAAATGAAAGAGTAAAGATAAACTACACAGTTTCTCTATCTGTCTGCTGAAATACCTGTTTGCAACATGTCCCTCCTGAATCCAGATTATTAATTTCTTACACCTCTAAACCTTGCATGATTAATCAGATGGTCCTAGATATTTGCATCTGACAACATCAAAATTATGTGAAAGCTTGGAAATTATATCTGCACACATGCTGAGTGAGAAAGCATTACTTGTTTACATGAGTACATTTTTCCTATTTAAATGCAATAAATACAGACTTTGTTGTTGTATTAAATGTGAGTGCTCATCTGTCGATAACAATGATATTGCAGAGCCCCTAGTCCTGTTTACAGCAGGTAATGAAATTTAAGGAAAGTCCAGTGCAGGCTTAATCTGGAGCAGTTTCATCCACTCAAATTTGAAAATAAGTTTTTCATTTAAAAAAGTAAGACAAAACATATTTTCCAGATTGTCTTAGCGCTCTCAAGTACAAAACAAGTACTGTAGTTTGTTCTCAAAGTTTCTCTGTCATGACTGCCGTTCATTGTGTTCTCAGGTGACTCCTCTGAGTATCGGATCAATGGTAGACATGTCAGCCTTTCCAAATACATTGAGGAGTTAAACAAGATTGGCATCGTGACCAAAGCTCGAAACTGTCTGGTGTTCCAGGTAAACACTATCACTAACAAGTAACATATATTATATGCATTGCATTATCCTGGTGTCATTTGTACAGTTACATAGTTACATACTTTTAACTAATGTATTATTGTGTGTAAAAAACGAACACTTTTTGCAGGAATACACTAAAATACATATTACAGAGAAAGGGACAAGAAACACAGTTCAGTGAATATAAATGGCATTGTTCCTTTTTCAAAAACAAATCTGATGCACATTATGCTCTGATCCAGGGGACAGTGGAGTCGATAGCACTGAAGGACCCAAAGGAGAGGACCAAGATGTTCGAGACAATTAGTCAGTCGAGAGAATATGCTGCAGAGTATGATAAGAAGAAGGAGGCCCTGCTGAAAGCCAAAGAGGATACACAGTTTCAATTCAATAAAAAGAAATCTGCCACCATCGAGAGGAAACAGGTTTCCCAGGAAAAAATGGAGGTAGAAACACACACAAATACAATAATTCTATCCCACTAGGTGAAAAAAAAAATATTTGTTTAACCAAGTTGTCTCTTTGTAACTTTAGTTTAAAAAACCATCTAATGAATAAAAACATCTGATGCTGATGCGCAGTTGGAGATAAATTGAGGCTCCTGGCTTGCAATTCCCTCGTGAAAACCCTGTGTAGGAGTAGGAGAAAGCAGTAAAAGTAAGTTTACATGCCCTGAATTACTGATGCACTCCCTCCATCCTCACTTTTCCAGGCCCAAAAGTACCAGGCACTTGTGGATGAACTCTACCAAAACCGCCTGCAGCTGAGCTTGGCTGAGCTCTACCATAATGAGAAGGGCATCAGTGCCCTCAGCGACGCCCTGAGGGAGAAACAGCAGGCGGCAGCTGTCAAAAACAATAAACTGGTGAAGGCGGAAAACACGGTCAAAACTTGCAAGAAAGAACATGGACGCCTCACCAGAGAGCTGCAGCACATGGAGAAGGATTTCCGGTGTGTGTTTGTATACGTTTTTAGTGGCTTTTTTTTATTAAGTGTGAGACGGCATATTTGCTTGTCATATTTGGAATATAGAAAAACATAATAGTCAATAGACAGGTCTCCTAGAATAACACACACACAAAAGTCTAGCTAATGGTGCAGTTAAAAGGTATTAAACTTGCTTCTTTTGCTTATATTATAGATACATAAATTGCCCACAAGGTCCATTAACTAGAATTTTCTTCCTCTCACCTTGTCGCCTAGCACCCAGGAGCATATCCAGTCCCAGTGTCAATCCCAGTACATCAAAGCAAAGGTGAACACCTCCCATCACACGAAGAAGGCTCAGGAGGTCCAAGATGCCCTGAGGAAAAGTCAGAAGCTGATGGCAATTAAAGAGCAGGAGATGGCAGAGGGACGGCAGGAGATCGCTGAACTGGAGATGACCTGGAGGAGCTATGAGAAGCAGGCACAGGAGAAGGGAGCTTCCCGGGGGAGAGACATCGACCTGGATGAGGATCAGGTTAGTATGCGTCAGACAACGCCACCTGCTTTCACATTCAGTCATCGTCTGTTAACATGATGTACAAAGTAGCAGCTTGAAGGTTGGAGGCCAGAGCTATAAAGAAACATAAACATTATAATATACCCAGTGGAGTTTGTGTGAGGGTCCACAGCAGGGGTCACATCATCGTGTTTTTTTCTGCTGCAGCTGGAACGATACAAAGAGTTGAAGGAGCTGGCTCGAAAGCAGGGGGCTGTTTTCAACCAGCAGGCAGAGAAGCTGCACTGGGAGGTCAGAGCAGATTATGAAAAAATGGCCTTCGACCAGCGCCGAAAGAAGGAAGTGGAGGTACCGTTTTTTGCTCTAACTGGACAAACATTAACTTGTGTTGAAGCAAGGCAAGGCAGGTTTATTTGGTCCATACACTGAGTTAATTCAAAGTGCTTTACAAGGTAATAAAACAAAATCAAGTACAAAGATTTAATAGCTGCTTAAATTAACCCCTCAACTTGAAAATCTTTTTGTTGTAGGCTGCTATTAAGAGCAACCTGACTCAGCTGGAAGACTTTACACGCAGAGCAGACGTGCTAGAGGAGTACACCAAGACCAGCAAGTACGTCATAAGACACTTTATACCACATCATCACTGTACTGCCATGTACAATGTAATGCCAGTCGGGGGAAAGCCTATAAGACCCTTCTGAAAGCTGTTTTGTTCCTATATTTATTAGTGACAAATAATGTGCTTCAAAGTAAATCTACAGCATACTTTATAAAAGGACTTTATGTTTCAGGTCATCCCTTGAAGAGTACCGTCAGCAGGAGGAAAGTTTGAGTGCGGAGCTGCAGAAAGGCCACCAGCGCCAAGCAGAGGTGAACCAGGAGCTGGGTCAGTTGCTGGAGGAGCTGGGGAACGCTCGTCTGGACAGTCAGGAGAGCAGACGCCAGGTGCAGCGCAAAGAGCTGCTAGAGCGGCTCCACAGACTCTACCCGGATACAGTGGTAAGAGACAGACTGACGGCTGACAGAGGCATTTAGCAGGAACACATTTAAGCATTCAGTGAGCTGGTTGTCCACTGAGTATTTAAAGTGTTGAAAAATGTTGAATTTTTAATAAGGCCCTTCAGCTTTAAATTTGGTTTCAAAATATTTTATTTAGGTTTTAATGCTGTAAACCTTTCTCTTGTCTTTCAGAGGGTTAAATAGATATGTAACAGTAAAAAATGCTGGAATGACACTAAAATACTTTTCCTAAGCCGTTTTCGAATATGCACTCCTGACACTGCTGCGGAGATTCTCCTGACCTGGCTGTTCACATATGCTCCTCACAGCGGGAGACTATCCCTGTCAGACTGGAGGGGGGGGCAGGGGGTCACCAGAGGTAAAAAATGATTTGAGAAAAACAACGCGGAAGTAGCGGATGGAGCAACAGATTCTGCTACACAACGCTACAATGATAATATTTGCCTTTATACTGAAGTCAACATCAACAAAAGAGCGGAGAACAACATACTGGCGAACAGAAAACGCAATGTAGCTGCTTAATTATGTGCATGGAGATCTTAGTGGTCGCATGCATACACTATTCACCGTGCAGCAGTCACAGTATTGAAATGTCAGTCACCCTCCTATTGGCTCGAGGTGAATTCTCCGGAGAATATCCTGTGGCGTTCTCACATCAGCCCGCTTGGGCTTGCTGCAGAAAAAATACGAGGGGTCTGGAAGGAGAAACTCTGAGTGAAATCCAAGTGAAGAATTTGGCTGTTTGCGTTCACACACATACAGCTCCTCCTTGAAATATCCTGAGTTTTTCAGGAGATTTCTGCAAGTGTGAAAACGGTACTAGACGATGATTAAAAATCTGTACATACAATTCCTGCAAATCAAAAGACATTTTTAAAAGTATACTAAGTTATAAACCACTTCATTGTATGGTTATTCATTATTTGAACCTTATCACAGTCCTTTTCTAAGCATATAGTTGTGCTGCTCAATGTCAGCTTGAAGTTTTAAAGATTATGTCAAGTTTGTATGTATTTCTAGTCACTCTTATTTATTTTCTCTGTGGCAGTACGGGCGCCTGTCTGACCTGTGCAGCCCCATCCATAAGAAGTACCAGCTGGCTGTCACCAAGGTGTTTGGACGCCACATGAACGCCATTGTTGTGGCCACAGAGAAGGTGGCTCGTGAGTGCATCCAGTTCCTGAAGGCGGAGCGAAACGAACCTGAGACCTTCCTGCCCATTGACTACTTGGAGGTTAGTTAAAGCAAGCTGTGACTTTTTTGTATAACTTAAAATGCAAAATGCAAAATACATTTAAATTCAGTTTGTAGATCAGTTTGTTTGTTGATCAAAGTAGCATACACACATATGCAACTGACCGACTGTGTGCGCAGGTGAGTCCGCTGAATGAGCGACTGAGGGAGGTGCCCGGGGCCAAGATGCTGGTCGATGTTATCCAGGTTAACACCTCTGCTGTAGCAGCCCAGTTGAGGAAGGTAGTCCAGTTTGTCTGTGGCAACGCCCTGGTGTGTGAGAACATCAAAGAAGCGAAGAGCGTAGCCTTTGACAGGCAGGAACGCTTGAAGGTAAACTTTGCCCCCAGCCACTGAGAGCAACCAAGGCGCAAGAAAACGTATTTTACTGCACATTAATGTTGCTCGGTAAGCGTCCTCACTTCTGAAGCATTCAAATTTGATTTACTTTAGACTTAAACATGGCCTGCACAAAACAATGTATGCCTCAGTACTTGTGGCCTCCTTGGCCGGAGGGATTATCGGTCTTTAGGATTTCAATCTCTGTCCAGTTTCTCATGGGCTTTTTATCTCAGCAATGACCAGAGGGAATATCATCAAATGGAGATATGTGTTTTTCTGTAGACGGTATCTTTGGACGGGACGCTGTTTGCAAAGTCTGGTATCATCTCTGGAGGCTCTAGTGACCTGCGGTACAAAGCTCGATTCTGGGAGGAGAAAGAGATGAAGCAGCTGATTGAACGAAAACATCAGCTGACGGCAGAGTTACGCGTGAGTCATCACAAAACAGGAAAACTATAGAATTCAAAGTTTTAAATTCATTTTGTGAAATCCTTGCCTTGTAGACACATTACTTTTTTTTCTTGTTTTAACTGATAATATGGCTTGTCTTTTAATTAATTAACATTTATTGATGTTTTTTTTTTTCATGAACAAGAAATACACATATATACGAGATGCATTATGATTTACAAGTAACCTTCACTCTGTCATTTACTGCCCGGCAGGATTTGATGAGGCTGAAGCGAAAGGAGTCAGACCTGAAACAGATCACTGCTCAGGCTCGGGGTGTTCAGACCCGCCTCAAATACTCCAAAGCTGAGCTGGAAAACCTTCGGAAGAAAAACATCCTGAAATGCCAGGCGGTAAGTTGACAACACTGTGACTTTTTCAAATAGATTGTCATAATTAAGACTAGACTCTTTGACATGCAGGTGTCGGTCAGAGCTCCTGTAGATTTTATCCTTTGAATCTTAAAGCATATAAGAAGTACAAGGAAACAGTTTGTCACAGATAAACAGGCGCAAATGTGAATTGACGATTTAAAGTTTTTTGGTACTTGTGCTTTCTTTTCTTTCCAGGAGATTTCTCGTATGGAGAGTGAATTAGCAAATCTGGACTCTCAGATCCAGATGCAGCAGGAGAGTGTGGATGCAAAGGATTCCCAGATGAAGAAGATCAGAGACCAGATCGACCAGGTACAGCTGTCTGCACAATGTCCTCAACCTGTTTCAAGAAATAGATCCACAAGTACAGGAAATAAACTCACTCTTATTTTGATTGATTTTATTATTTGAGTCATAACTACCCTGTAGTCTAATGTGAAGATTCTGGTTTTATGTTTTATATTATTGCAGGGAATACATTAATGACTGCTCAAACAAAACAAGACATCGTAAAACATGACTGTTGGTGCAGGGAAACTGAACCAGACATTTTTATGCACCAAACAAAGAATCTTTTGTAAATAAATAACTGGCAGAATAAGAGATGATGAAAATATTTGCTTTGGTTGGGGCATCAACTTAACCCGGTAGCAGAAAGGTTAATAGCTAGATCCTCTGTTGACCATCTTCTGGTCACATGAACTAAAACCATTGTGGATGCTTGATGTCTTTAGATGGAGGACTTGGTGTTTTCTGACTTCTGTGCTGAGATCGGTGTGGACAGCATCAGAGAGTACGAGCATGAGCACCTGAAACATCAGACAGAGCTTGACAAGAAGCGGTACGACAACCACACACCAGTATCTTAAAAAAAGATTTACTATCAGCTGAAATTAGTTAGTTGTGTTAAACTATATTTCATCAATGCTCATTTCTATCCCTTTGTAATTTTTACTGGGTGTTTCTTTATGCCCTTAACTGTAGATATCAGACAGTGGATAGAGTCAGAAATCAGAGAGAGAGGGTGGGGATTGACGTGTTGGTTAGGAGCTACAGGTCTGATTTGAACCCAGGCCACCCTCTAGGAGGACTATAGCCTCATGAGGTGTGCGCACTAACCACTAGGCTACCAGCACCCCTCCCTATTTCATTTTATGAAATTGCCAGTTTCCTTTTTTTGTGTATTATTGTAAAAATAGTCCCCATCATTTTTCTTTTAAAGAATTATTTTTGAGCTTTTAGTATTTGTTTGATAGGACAGTGGATAGAGTAGAAAATTTGGGAAAGAGAGCGGGGAAGACATGCAGAAAAGGAGCCACAAGCGGGACTTGAACCTTGGCTGTCTGCCCTTGGAGGACTATAGCCTCTGTACATCGGGCCCGCCATAACCGCTAGGTCTTCTGCACACCTCTATCACTTTTTTTCTGTGGTAAACTTAACTTTAGTTAAAGTCTACAGGGGTGCAAACCTTTCTACGAAATTCGCGTTTTTGGATCCCAAATAGGTCATTTGTGTGATTCATTTAGATCTGCAATAAAACTATTTGGAAGAGGGGGGGGGGGGCAAATCTGCGACGCGAGCTGTCATGCTTCTTGTGGTCGGCGAGCACGGTCCCGCGAACGTTAAGTCGTTTCATACATACTTATTGCGGTCAGAGCGGTCTGATAGCTCATCACGGCCTGAAGAAAGTAGCCTAATTCCGGGCCCTGTAGCCAAACATTGCAATGCAGTCGGCACGAACCCGTCCGTGTTGTTAAAAAAATCTTGGAGGTGCTCGGCTGGGCGCTCAGACCCTCCCTCCGCGGACCATTCTTGCGCCGACTGCAAGAAGCATGAAACCTGATTCAGTGAGTCGCAATGTGCCGCACATGGCTAATTTACATAACGTTATTTTTCCGTGAAAACACTGTGGGAAGATTCGAAGTCTGGCTAGCAAGCCAGCCTTTCTGTTAAACATCCTGTCTGATCATATTTACTGTTTGTTAGCCATAGGTAAAGTTGTTGAGAGAAATGTGTGCTAGCTTGAAGGTAACTTCATACAGCTTTCTGGTTCATTATTATCTCAGGCAACATTACAGTGACAGCTGGTCAACAAATGTAATAAGGTAGACCAGAGGGAATATAAACTTAACGAAAATCAGCAGGAGCTAAACATCAGGTTAATATATTGATAATGTTACATATTTAATGATAGAAGAGAAAATATTGCCATACTTGATGACTGTATGATGATGCTCTATCAGACTCTTGCCCTGAGAGCTACTTGCATAGTGACTGCCCTTCACATCACCCCTTAGTGGAACATGGTAAGCCCTGTTCTGCAGATTCATCCCATTTATACAAAGGGACTCAAGGTTGGTAGATACAGGACATAGATATCAACAAGCAATTGTGTTTTTCTTATTGTTTGCACTGCTTCTTTAGTAGGTCTGAATGCTAAAATCGTCTATAAATTCACATTTTAAAGCTGATATTTAAAAAAGAAAAATCTTCCCGGGGGAGGATGCCCCCGGACCCCCCTAGGGGGTTTGGATCCATGTCACCTTTTTCATCCCTGATGAGTTTGCACCCCTGAGTCTAAATAAAATGAACACAACCTTAGGTTCCCTCGTACTGATGTTAAGCTAATTGGCAACAGGGACTTGTGTTGGTTCTGATCGGACAACTCCTTATTCATTCTCTCTTTTCAGACTGGAGTTTGAGAGTCAATGCACTCGTCTGAAAGCACAGCTGGAGTACGAGCAAGATCAATTAAACAAGCAGAAGAAGAAGCTCGCCAACTTGGAGGAAACCATCGCAAAGGAGCAAAGATTCTTGGCTGAAAAAAGAAAGGTAATTATCTCAGACTTTCAATTTGGGTTGTGATATATTTCATTGCCATAAAGCTTCCCTATGATACATAGTTTTAAGGTGTCCAGGACAACAGGTAAATAACAAACTAACAAGCAGGTATCTAACAATTATGGCAGATATGTCTCCTGTTTCACCTGCTGGAATGTTACTTTTTACAGAACAAATCTGAAGTTTGTTCAGTGCTATTTCTCTCTAATCCTCTCAGTGATTGTCCGTTCTTCCACAGGATGAGGAGAGGCTGCTGGTGGCCGTGGAGGAGGGTCAGAACAAGCTGCTGGAGTTGAAGAACCAGCTGCTCTCCAAGAAGAGTCAGGTGTCTGATGTCAAAGCTGAGCTTGACCAGAAAACCCAGAGCCTCCAACAAATCAACAGGTACTGACACTACAGCTAAGACTCTAGTTTTGCTGCCACTGTACCTGTTTTAATTTAGTCAGAACAGCTACGTACTACTTCTTCTATAAAGGTGTCTTTATATCCAAAGTAAAGGGAAAAACGCAAAAACTTTCAAAGGAAATGTAAAGACACAAATTGGCAAAGCATTCAGCTGGATTGAGACTTTCATGATCTTTTGGGGTTTAGTTTTCTATTTTGTCCTTCGTTTTCATTACATATGGTCGTTCTCAAATCCATTAAAAAACAAAAAATTCACAAATTAGTCTCGTCTTCCCAATAGACATGAGAGATTTAAATTCATTTTTCACAAATCTGCAATGTTGTTTATACATTTTAGCACATTTTCATACATCTGTAGTCAAACAGATTTACCCAGTTTATGATTTGCTGGTGCAGAATAACTGCCCGTCATCAGAGATAGATGGAGCGGCACCCTTTGCTTTTGGTATAAACACAGCTTTACTTCACTTCATTCACTTACTTATTCTGATTTCAAAGAATTTCTTGATCATTTATGACCCAAGGTATACAATTCAAGAAGAACACTCAGAAACATGTCTATCTGTCCTTAAAGAGAGTTGGTGAAGCTCCAGCGGGAGGTGATGACTGCAGAGTCGGCCTTGGAGCAGAAACGCCTGGCCAGACACAACTTACTGCTGGCCTGCAAGATCCAGGGTCTGCCCATCATTCTGCTGTCTGGGAATCTGAATGAAATCAGTCAGGTGCAGGTAAGAAGCAGGCGTGCAGAGGTCTGTATTGAAGATAAAAGAAATTCTTGGTATCTTTCGAAATACATTTGAAACAGCCCTTTACCACTTTGAGAAGTGATGGCTTATATTTTCATCTTTTGTAAAAACATCCCATGACACCCATCCAATAGATAAATCAAGACAGCAAAAACAGGCAGATTGTGAGTTAATAAAGATGTTTTATCTGACAACTCACTCTGCCTTTCTGCAGCTGGACACTGAATCTGAGAGCACTTCGGCCACCATGGACATCTATGAGAGAGAGGCCCTACTGGTCCTCGACTACTCTGGCCTGGAGGCAGATCTCAGGGTGAGACATCAAGCCTCATCATTGCCTGAATTTCTCTTGTTGCTCATTCATGTTTATCTGTGTGTGTGTGTGTGTGTGTGTGTGTGTGTGTGTGTGTGTGTGTGTGTGTGTGTGTGTGTGTGTGTGTGTGTGTGTGTGTGTGTGTGTGTGTGTGTGTGTGTGTGTGTGTGTGTGTGTGTGTGTGTGTGTGAAGGGTTTGCAGGCTGAGGAGGAGGTGGAGGCCTACCTGGAGAAGATGAAGGAGTCAGTGTCCGCTGTCGAAGAAGTGCTGCTTCGCACTTCTGCACCAAACCTCAAAGCTCTGGAGATGATAAGGGAGGTGAAGGACAAGTTACTGGGAGTGACAGAAGGTTAGTAAATCAGTGTATGTAGTTTATTTGGTATTATTCTAAACCACTTTGTTTACATATTAATGCATTATATTTACAATTTTTTCAGCATTTTATTTTATGAAATAATGTGTGAGTGCAAGGGTTGACATCATTTGCACTTGGTGTGATTGTTGAAATGGATTTTTTTAACCTGTAGTTCAAAGATATTCAATGATAACTGAAGTACCTTCAATGCTGCGTCCACTTTGTTGTCCTGCCCCTCACTCAGAGTTTGAGGCCAGCACCAAAACAGCTAGAAAATGCAGCCAGGAGTTTGAGCAAGTGAAAGCCCGGCGCTTCCAACTCTTCAGCCAGTGCTTTGAACACGTCTCTATCGTCATCGATCAGATCTACAAAAGAATATGCAGGAACAGCAGTGCCCAGGTGAAGCAACAAAGCCTCTTTTTCAGCATCGTATATATACACACACACGCACGCACGCACGCTTCTATGTTGATTTGCATTTGAATAGATTTTTTTCTTCCACAAAGTCACCTTTGTAAAATGTAAAGTTAAAGTAGGCTTGACAAACTTGGATTTAAAACATTCGATTCAGTATAATTTGGGCTCCAGTTTTACCATGATAGGGTTGCCGCGAAAAAATCAAATGAATCAAAACAAATAAATAAAACAATAATAGCATGCTAGTAAGCTTTTATTCCAGCTTAGTTGGCAGAGATGATTTTGCTCATATTTGAAGATATAAATGGTGTTATAGTTAATCTAGTGTTGAGGGGTTTTTAGAAATAAGAACGGATAACCTTAAAAAACGAGATCAAAAATATGAAATAATTACAGACTGCCTTATGTGCTTCCAGGCCATTCTGAGTGCAGAGAATCCAGACGAGCCGTACCTTGGCGGCATCAACTACAACTGTGTGGCGCCAGGAAAACGCTTCATGTCCATGGACAATCTGTCAGGGGGAGAAAAGGCCATCGCTGCCTTGGCTCTGCTGTTTGCCATCCACAGGTAACACTGTAAAGTGCAAATGCATATTACAGAAACAAATAACCAATCAAAGTAGCAAAACTACTGTAACTGGATTTGATTTGCCAGTATCCTATTTAACAAAATCAGTGTTGTCAGGCTTGATTTAACCGGACAGCTTGACGATTAATCTCCACATCGTTCATCTTTTAAACAAACCCTGGATCAAAGGAATCTGCAGTCTTACCACAGCTGTCTGTACACCATGATTATATATATATATATAAAAACAATTTCCCTTGACGGCTGATAAAAGTTATTATGCAATGAATTTAAAGTTAAGTTTATTCATTTGTAACTGCTCATCTCTTATCAACTTTATTGGAAAGGTTCTCTTCTTAAGACATTTGAATCCATTCCATCATCCCTGCTTCCTACTTTTTAATTTTGTAATGAAACTAGTGTTCCTTGTGTTTGTGGGGTTTCTCTCAGCTTCCGCCCTGCGCCCTTCTTCGTCTTGGACGAGGTGGATGCAGCCCTAGACAACACAAACATCGGCAAGGTAAGAATCAAGCTGCATACGGGGTAGGGGTGCAGAAATGCAAAATGTTCTCTAATCGATTACTCATCCCATTGTTAAAGCGAGTACTCGAGTAATCGTTTTGTAGTTCTTTTTTTTTCTGTGATTCTTTTCCCCCATGGCAGGCCCCGTCCCCAACTATGACGCGATGCCGACTGTATCTATTGATTAATTTGAAACTTCGGGATTTTAATAATTGTTAGCAATAGGCCTTTGTATTAACGTTCAAACATAAAATTTCTTACTTCAACAGACAGCAAACCTCAAATAAAACTTCACACAAACGTATCTTATGACCGTTTTAACACTTTATGGCACCTCCACGCCGCACTTCGCTGAGTAGTCTTGGCTGCCATCGCAAGTCAAAAGTGAAACTTACTTGTTACGTGACGTAATGCCCGGTGGTCAGTTATCCAACATTTATCACGTGCATTTGTGAGCGCAGTAACGTTGTCAAAGTGGAACATTTGTAGATTTTATTCATCTCTAAATAAATAGTATGTTATTTTTGATCAGAGATGAGTGAATGTATGTCTCTAAAAAAATTTAGGTGTACACGTGTACACCCCTAGTTTGCACCCCTAATACAGGGTTCACAATAGGAAAATACAATGGAGGTGGAGTGCAAAAAAAAACTGAAAAATAAACAACCAAAGCCAGCTACACAGGTTTTTAAATTCAAGCTAATGTAACTGAATACAATGTTAATTCATTATTAAATATTTGTAACCAGGCACTGATAATATTATATATATTGCATTTCTATTAATGGTTTTCCTGCATTACAATAAATGTTATCACACAAAGTCAAAAAGAAAATCAGAACGCCTTGTTTCAGTTTTGTTCTAACCTTGGGATTTGCTGCTTTGTCTGAGTTTGATAAGTCGAATCACAAGTTCATGAGCATCAGTAACAGCCACACATGCCATTTAACTGTCTATTACTTAGGTATAGTTTTACGTGTTTGTCAGGGCATGTGGTGCTCTCTGGATTTCCGACAGCATAGGTTGCAATTTAAATGACACCTCAGTGCCTCCATACCAGGGTTGGAAATTACCTTTTTAGCCCACCTGCCACTGTGACTGGTGGATTCAGTATAATATCAAATCAAGGCTTCCAGTATTCAAATTATAGAGATATTTTATGAAGGGAAAGGTTTCTACTCATGAACTGAAAAAAAGGTTATTTTTATTTTTTATTTTGAGGCTGGTAAGAGTTTCCACTGCAGCCATGTTATCAAAGGCAAACTATTTTAGCCGATTCAGCTGCAAATGAACCTCGACTGAGAGGCCAGATATTTAATTTGCTGTTTAAAAAGTGTGTTTTAAAATCACTCTGTTACGTTACTTTTATTTACAAGCCACTGTGACTGGCTTATTTCCAACCCTGCTCCATGCAGATATCGTGATGGGGGAAAATTGTGTTTGTGTAGGACGTAGCACACAGACTATCAAAGAATAACTAAATGAGTTTAAGAGCAGCAACATAATCATTAAGGTGTATTTACTTGGTTTGTAGCTTATATTTGTGTTTACCTGATGTGTGGGTGTGGTTTTGTCTGTTTCCAGGTGACCAGTTTCATCAGAGAGGAGTCGAGGCAGAACATGCAAATCATCGTCATCTCCCTGAAGGAAGAGTTCTTTTCAAAGGCCGACGCTTTACTCGGAGTCTACTCAGATGTAACCAACTTTTCTACAGTTTGACTAGGCATTTACATTTTGTCATGAAAGTGCTGACACTAAGGTTTCTCTTTTTTGTTTTTTTCTACAGTTTGATGAATGCATGCTCAGCCGCATTCTGACCCTTGACCTGCGACCTTACCCTCTCGTTGAAGAGGAAGATGGGAAGCTGGCAGAAAAGGAGAAATCCATGACTGTGTAGTTTGAAATTGTCTTCATTGAGTCCTTGCATTTGTGTGTTCTGCATTTTGTTCATTGGCCATACTGATGTGTTCAGGTATGGTAGTTATTCTAAAAAACAAAACAAATATGTTCAATTTTTATGATGTTTTATTAAGTCTAAAAATAGTGAAATGGTTTAAGAAGATTAGTGAGAAAGTTCAGTAGCCTGTTCCTTTTTTTTTAGCATCAAAGACGTAAAGAAATCTTGCAAGTTTTGACAATAACAAAACTTTTAAGGGCAGTCTGTAATACTTCTGCATGAGAAAAATGTTCATGTTTTAAATGTTATTCTTGTTAATCCTCCAAGATCATAAGTACAATTTAAAAGTGGTCATTCTTGGTGTGTCACTAACTTGTTTTAATATTTTTCATCTGCCTCATTTTGTACAACTTGACTTGGAACTTGACTTAAACTGTTCTTTTGTTAAGTTGAAGATGCAGTGTGCCTTTTTGTTTTTTTTAATGCTGTGAAATATTTCTGAAAGTCTCTCAATTGGCCACAAGAGGGCGGACAAACACTATATTTCCCTTTGCAGGCTATAACTCCCAACATCCATTTGAGTCTCCATATTATAACTAAAAGCACTATTCAATGTAACTATATTTATTATTTTTATTTCCCCCCCCCAAAACACTACAACAACAACAACAACAACAACAACAACAAGCAAATAGCGTACCTTTTACTTGTTTGACTCCAGGACCTGTAGGGGGCGATAAAGAGCTCACAGGGCACATGAACAACCCCGTGATCTTTATTTACGGAAGTGTTGCCTCTGTTGATTTAGGTCGCAGCCAGCAGACTGAATAATTTCTCTGGTGGATTTTGTGTATACAGGCAGGGTAACGCTATAAAATTACCTGCACGATCCCCTTCATTATATCACTGTAGTCCTTCTTCAGATTAAATTAACTCATATTTGCCGGAAAGCTGAACGTCACCATGCAAACCTAAGCTCGTACTGAAATTGCAGAACCTACTCCGATTTTCAATTCACCTCCTCTCGGACACGATTCTGTTGACTGTCAGTGGAAATCACATGACACCTGTGTTGTCGAGTTATCTTTAATTAACGTTACATCAGCGTGTTAACTAGCCGTACCAGCGTTAGCATAGCACCATGGGGGCCGAGCAGAGTGGAGACTCGGAGCACAAACACTCAGATTACAGCTCATCTGGTGAGTGAGACTGCATGCTACTTTTTTTTTTAATCTAAAAACAAAAACAACTTGTCACTTTAGCATGCTGTTGTAAATGGTAACATATTAGTCACTTAAAGTAACCCCAATGTTTGTTTATTTATTTGTTAGGGACAGTGCATGTCGGTGAACAGCTGTAAATAAATGTCAGATTATAGCAGAAGTGCTGGTTTCCATCTGTTGTCCCTAGGCAGGTGACAGAGAAAGATAAAATACAAATACAGAGGCACAAGTGACACAAGACAATGATAGAGGTTAAAGGTTAAAGGTGGTCACAGACTTGGTTTTCTTTTATCCACTGTTTGAGGTGTGTTTTGAAGGTTGCATATGTTTGTGAGGTATTAGGTATTAAGATATTTATTTAAACAAATATCTATGATTATGGTATTCTTCTCATCAGCATGGATGCATTTACATCTTCAGTCGTATTTTCCAGTTGTAGCTGGGCTGAAGTTGAGTTAATTTGTTTTTTAGTTAAAGTGTTTGATAAATGAATGTAAAACCACAATATTTGCCCTTTTTAATATAAATTTTTGAAAAAATTTTATTTAATGGAAACTTGACAACAAAGTTCAGGAAAAACTGAGTTGTTAAATTACATTTTCCCTGTTAAAGTAATGTACTTGTTGTGGTAATTAACTTTTAACACCCTGCAAAATCTGTGCACCATGTTTTCAATTGAAGAAGGTACAGCGATCTAGTTTTAATGCCAAGATTTTTTTTTCTAGTCTTCATGGTCACTCATGATTTAAAACTAAATACCTAGCTGTTGGTTTCAAAAGAGCTGTTGTCTTTACAGTGGTGCCATCTCCAGCAAAGCAAAAGGCGAAGATGGATGATATCGTCGTTGTTGCACAGGGGACCCAGTCGATGAGAAATATCCACAATGATCCTGATGTCATAAAGCTTCAAGAAATACCCACATTTCAACCGCTTTTAAAAGGTAACCTTAAAGCCTCCACATGCTGACATTAGTTCCGGTGTTATCCTAAACACTGAGACAGACAGTAAATGTATATGTCAAAGTATTAATGAAGTATTAAACCACTACAACTGATCCAGGGCACTATAGTATGTGGAATATTTGTGTAACTGTTTTAGTCAAAAAGAAGAGTGTACACAGTTGAATATATTGTGCAGCTGCCAGATTAAATATCAGAAGCTGAAAGCAGAAGTCAGATAAACTCTCTGTACTGTGTTTCAGTATACACAGTGAAGTGTTGACATCTCATAAACCTTTGAGAGAAGAAATTGAGAACAGTCTATCTTCAAATTCCCTGTTGTGAAGTTAATTAAAGCTGCATCCTATTAGCACTGCATGGGAAAGGTGGATAATGAGTTTCCTGTGTAGGTGCAATCCTGAACGTAGTTAGAGGGGTAGTTCTGTCAGATCCTGTGAATCGCTATTAACAGTAATGATAAAGTGTTGCACTGTTCACAAGTGTGACTCTTCTTCCCCTCTGCAGGAGTGCTGAGTGGCCAGACGTCACCCAGCAGTGTGTGTCTGGAAAGGCTGGATGCTGCTCAGGTGATGCAGCTGTGTGTGCGATACCAGGACCACCTTCACCAATGTGCCGAGGCCGTGGCCTTCGACCAAAACGCCCTGGTCAAGAGGATCAAAGAGGTGACTATAGCTTGAAGGATAACAGGTGTTGCACTATTACTAAAAAAAAAAAGAAAAATATTTATTAACTATCGAGGCCCTTTGGAAAATAGAGTACAGTATATGAATATTTTATGAACTGTCATGAGCTTCTCTTTTTGTTGCATTAAGTGCTTTAGCTATTTTTGATTTTTCAATTTCAGTAATCTTTGTGCTTCAACTCTACATTTGAATATATTGCATTTATTTCTCAGTCATGATTTTTTTTTTAAATGACGAGTCAGAATTAAAAAAAAAAAAAGCATTCAAGCTTTTTCCCTCTGCTTTACTTTTAGATCATTTTTAGGTCATTTCCTCTCTCTTATCCCCCACTGAATGTTTCCCTCCAGATGGACCTGTCTGTGGAAACGTTGTTCAGCATCATGCAGGAGCGGCAGAAACGCTACGCCAAGTACGCCGAGCAGATCCAGAAGGTCAACGAGATGTCGATGATCCTGAGACGCATCCAGATGGGCATCGACCAGACGGTGCCGCTGATGGAGCGACTCAACAATATGTTGCCTGAGAGCGAGCGCCTGGAGCCCTTCAGCATGAGGCCTGATGGGGAATCTGCCACCAAGTAGCCCCCTTAAAGACACCACCAGTCCTCTGTCCAGGAGAGAGTGCAGGTCTGTTTAGCTGTAGGGATACTTTTAAACCATTTAAGTTTTTTTGTTTTCATAGAAGGGGCGGAGCTAAGATGTGAAAGTGCCACAATATGTCTCCAGGTCATCTAATCTTTAATTGTTAAGCAACTGTTGGAAACTTTAATTTAGCGTCGATCATGGCGACCCCTGTGGAAAAAACATTACGTTTTATCTATATCTGTCCTTGTCCTAAACGTGCACGTTTAGTTTATCTTAATTAAATCTGCTCCAGCTTCCTTTTCACCTTTTTTGTGGAAACAAAATGTAAACAAAGGACCTTTCTGTCTGTAAATCACTTTGATGGAATCAGATTCAGCTGAAGGATGGCAGGCATTGAAATGAACTGAGTAGAAAAAGTCAGTGTCTCTTTGCTGACGATGTATTAGGCCTGTTTCATACCAATTTAAAAATCCCTCACAGTTCATTTAATGCTGGAATTTTTGAAAACACACATGCTCTTAATCAGCAACAACCTGTTTCCTATTGCACTTCTGCTCACCATTATATTCATACCAGAGTTTAACAACTGAACCTCTCTTTGGAACAGTTGTTGATATTAAATATAGCCATACTGCAGATGGCTTGGAGATTATGACTTATCCCTTACCTTCAAGGATTCAAAAAGTCAATCTTTCAAATATAGGCCATGTTTACTGACGTAAAGGCGTGGCAGGAACACTTCTGATTGAGTCGTAAAAGAACTCTATATGCTCAGATCATTGTCATGCAGGTGTGATGCAACTCTCCAAGACCCAAATGGTTTCAGTGACATAAAAGCATCTCCTGCTGATTTGCAGGGAGGTTTGCGTCCAAGAACTCATGGAATAATTTTGGGTCATCCGCTTCACTTCACTTTTTTTTTTTTTTTTTAATGTGATCTTGATATTCATCTTGTTCCCACCACTACCACACCATCTGCCTTGGATTTTTATTTTTCTGAAAAGATTTCGTGCATCATTTTTGAAAAAGGCTTTGAAGAAACTCAAGGAGAGAACCAGGATGGTTTATTGCCATTGGATTGCAAAAGAAGAATGGATTATCTGCAAAATGAGAAACGTCTTTTTGGACACAGGATGGTCTCGATAAACTTGTGAACTTGAACTTTATTTTTGTGTTGAGAGGATTTAATTTATTTGGATACTTCAGCTCTAACATTTGCGTCAAACCTATTTGCATGCAGAATAGTCAACACTTGACTGTGCCATCGGTGTGTCACAGAAGATTGATGCACAGGAGGACATTTGTCAAGTTGCCACACCTTCAGATCACAGAACTGCAACTAAAGCATTAACTTAGTATGTTTATTGGCTTGTTAAAGAGATAGCCAAACATCTCATATACCAAAGAGTCACAAACTGTTGGTTAATAACTCTCACCTTAGAAACAGATGGTCATGTTTTGTCTCTTGTTTCTGTGTCAGAAGTTATGTTATTGGGATTAAAGGGTCATTCCACCCAAATATTAAAAAAAACAAAAACATTCATCTCTTTACCGCTTACACATTTAGTTTTGTTTTACTGGTTTATTTCTTTGGAGATCGGTCACTAACATTTCTAACACAACCGACAGAGTAGACCAGGGTCTCAAATAATTTTTTGTTTTCATCCAGCATCAAGTGATCGCTTGCAGACAGTAGAAAAATATCTTGTAATTAAAAAAAAAAAAACAGAATATTCTTAACTTCAGAGTTAGTTTATATTAAAAAAAAACAAACAGGCAATGTGAATGTGTCATGGTTGATGTAAATTGCTTTCAGCAAAAAATTAACCAAGAACTTAAATTTATCAACAGCATCTTTGAGGAAAAATGTTTCTTCAGACAATCCCCAAAACACAATCAATACCTTTAGTAATCTCAACACTTAGTTAGGTAGAAAAGTAACCAACCAGGACACAGTACGCTAAAGATACAGTTGTCTATTTGGAGAAAAAACTTAATTATGTGAGTGCTAAAAATTGAATTCAGCTTTTATTGAATAGAGTGGAAGCAGAAATCTAAAAGGCAGGAGCCTCAAAACCCAAGCCAATACTAAAATATTTGCAATAATGAGAAATACCATGAAGTTCAGTAGTACTATGATGAATGATTTCTTTTTCTTATTTGGGTGAACAAGCTCTTAATAAATACTCAGTTTCTGCTCTGTTTACAGTGACAATAAAAAGACACAAAAAATGATTGAATTTCAGCAGTCTTTCTGTTTGAGCTCGTGTGAGTCCAGCAGGTGGTGCCAGAGATCATGAAACACATCCTGTGACTTCCTAACATTCACAGGTTAAGAGCC